GAGCAACCTGGTCTAGTGGAAGATGTCCCTGCCCATGGCAGGGGTGTTGGAAATAGATCCAACCCAAACCATTCTATGATCCTATGACTAATGGATTACTACTATGGCTTTCTTAGATTTTAAACAGGACCAGATTTATAAATAGACAAAAATGGGCCAAGTGCCAATCTTTGGTAGAGAAGTTAAATATCTGACTTACAGATCTACTATCTACTTCACTCAATACCCTCATAAATCAGGTTATAATTAGATAAATTAGACATAACTAGACTATAGAAGTGCAGTAGAGGCAAGGACATTGATCCTTATAACTCTTGAGAAATGTTTCTGTTTAGGCTTCTTCAGCCTTAGCTGTAATACATGCTGGGTGCACAAGGAAAGCAAGATAGAAAATCTGTTTTTCATAAGCTTTTTTTTCCATTTACCCTAATGAGAACCTACAATATGACCTGTATTAGCACATGTAAGTACAACAAATGGTGACAATTCTGCAGACCTAACTTCACTCACACCCGTGGTGTGTGAGACCTGAAAAGAGCTGGCCTGTTCTCTGTGATCCAACACCCCACACTTCATTAAACCCAGAGCATGCAAAATAACCTTGAAGAAGATGAGTTTTTGCTGGTGTGCCTTCTCGTTTCGGTGCTTTATTTCCTCGTAGTTTCCCATCGTTTTGCTGTTCCTGTGATTCTCTCCGCTCTCCTGAATTTGTCCGCACGTCTGAATGCTGCCTCCCATCCACCCCATCCCTCCCCTTGTAGCTCGCTCCTTTCCTTTCCGCAGATCTGTCTGTCCTCGCTTCTATAGAAGCAAGTTTTGGCAACATGACCGGCCGCACCTCCAGCTGTGATTTGGACTGGGCGGTTGGCGATTTTATAGCTGGAGGTGGCACAGGAGGGGGTGGCAAGTCTACAAAGTTGAAAAAGAACAACAATTAAAATGACATCATACACTAGTAAAACTAAGAAATAATATTTAACTTGAACTGAAGAAACAGACGCCCTATTTACTTTCAGGCCTCCATCTGCACTTCTCTGTCCAGCCCAGAAACTATTATGTTATTGTTAAAACTGCTGAGGGGTATTTTTCCAAAGCCTGAGCTTTAAAAATGCAAAGATTCCTTTTTCAAATCACTGTATTTTCTTAATAATAATTACAAAAAGCTTTAAAGAACTTTAGGCACTTGGACATTAACATATCAGTTATGGATATTTCCATATCTACATAGATATCTACATTTCTTTGTTGATAATTATAATTTTTGCTAAGTCCATTCAAAACTACAGCACCTTGTGCTATAGTTGCTCAAGGTCCTTCCTGTAACAAGCATTAAAGAAAGTTGGCTGGGGTGTAAGAATGTGTATTAGATGCACTGCTCATATATGCAAGCAGAAAATGTATTAATTAATGCACTCTTCTTTCAAAATGATAGATTAATATAACATACATATCCCTGACATCTGTGAATATAGCATGTTTTATATATATATATAAAATTCTCCCACACAATCAACAAAGTAACAAGCTCTCAGGAAGAAGAAAAAAAAAAGACACAAGATTTTGAATATTTCTCCTTAAATTAGCACATCTTAAGGGGTTCTAAAATTACGTGTATTTTTAAGTAGTATTTATGAGGCACATATTAATTACTTAGCTTTTTTTTTCTATTCCTGCTTAGCAAGTTAAAACTAGAATGTGCAAACTGTTCATCAGGAGACAATAGTGCTCTGGAATTAAAAATGTGAAGGAAAAAATGTAGAAGTTAAACAAGGAAGAGACAATACAAAAGTGGTTCACAACAAAGCTGTAGGAACAAATCACATTCATGTAAGAGAATAGGCTAAAAAAAGGGAGATGTGAAAGATGTTTCTGAGGTTAATATTCTCAAGTAAGATTGCTAAAAAAAAATAACAGCACTATTAAAAAATGTAACTTCAGCATTTTATAATAGTGTGCATTCATTCTTTCTAGTTCCACAAAAATCTTGTAGCAGCTGTGTTTTTCAAACACCATCACCATATATACAGCTAATTCACAGTCTATTCAAGAGAACATTTCAACTGAAAATTAACTAGATTGGCCCAAGAATAAAGGTAGTACTCCTGGAAAAAAAAAAAAAAAAAAAAGGAATCTAACACACGTATGAATTTGAGTATGTCAGATGCCAGACATTTTTGAGAGGTTTTCCTGTGACACAAAGCACAAATTACTTCATCTAGCCATGAGGAAATGTGTAGCAATGCAGAATTCAGTGCTCAATACAAGCTTACTGGGCATCATCCTCTGTGTTAAACTGGTGATGTAACTTGGAATTGACCTGGATCTGTTTTAAATGAGACTGGATATTTTATCAGTTGTCTGGACTGGGATGACGAGAAAGAAAGATGTCAGCAGTTTATTTCCTAAGGTTGGACATGCTTCAGGTAAATAAGATCTGTAACATCATTCTTACTGAATTAACTCTACCCTAGGTGATCCTGCTCTGGCAAAGGGGCTGGACGAGATGATCTCTAGAGGTCCCTTCCAACCCCTACCATTCTGTGAATCTGTGAACTCCACTGTCTTGATTTTAAAAAAACAGAAAAACCCCTACCACATGTCCCATGAAAAGCTCAGTGCAGCAGACCATGTCAGATCCAGAGCAAAGGTTATCAAGCATAATAATTGTTCTTCAAAAGGAAGGCTGGAGATGGTGATGGTTCCCACCTTTGGCAGAATACTTTCAGTGATTATGGAACTTGGTCAAGATTTAAAAAAATAAATAAACTCTTCAGTAGCCTGTGGAGATTCAAAGAATGTTTTCCTTTCTCAGGAAAACATCCTTCTCACAACATGTCCTCTCTCAGAAAAAGACGTACTGAAACGGAAGTGGATGAAGATTCTCAGAAGTATAGGCTTCTGGAAACACAGTGGTTGTTCATGCAATATCTTGTGCCTCTTATTCCCCACTCACTGTCTCTATGAAGTTATCAGAGCACTGAACAGCCCATCTGTTGAGCCTGCTGATGTTAAGGGAGTGTAGGTACTTCACATCAGCCTTTTCAGTCATCCTTGGAGCCAGCCTCCAACAGCTGTGGCACGGCAACACGCTGGCTGAATACCAAAGGGAAGGAACCAGCATCTTTCCTGTAGCCTACAAAGTACAACTTGGGAACAAACTTCTTTATTCAAGAATCCTCTCCAGCTACACAGGACAATGAACAAAGTGGTGGCAAGTGTTGACTATGAAAAAGAAAGATGCATTGATATAAAGAGTTTCATAAAGCGGCAGTAGCTCTGTGGTACAGTAATAACTAAAGTGATATCCTCTTTCGAGAACATTTTTGCAACCTGCAGGGAAACTATAAAAATCTTCATTATAACACAGTACTCCTTGCTGAGAAGAATCCTTTACAGAGGAAAAAAACCCCAACTTTTCAGAGGTCAACACTATTACACCCCTGTGGTATTTATTCTAACAGCTCAGATCACAGAGAAAATCCGGATTCAATCCTCCTCCTCAAGTACAAACTGGCACATTTATTGAAAGGAAAATGGAAGCTTCCATTGTAAGGAATAAAAAATAAATCACAAAGCAACATCAAACCAATACAGAGAACTCAGAAGTATTTGTTAAAGGTCAGCTGTGCTCACATGTTTCATTCATGCCTATGTATCACTGTTGTACTGCTTCCCACGTAACTAAAACAATTAATGGATGCCATTTCATAGCACGGTCTACAGGGGCAACCTTCCATACATGGCTTTTGAAAGGAGCCGTAATAATTTTCTAAATGAGAACATATACAGGAATCATGGGATAAGGAAAACACCACTGGGGAAAAATAATCTGCTAAGTTAATTTGGCAATGAAGTGGAGAAACCACAAATAAGCACAAAAAAGATGAATGGTAAGTAGTGACAAACGAGGTAAGTAGGTTTTATAAGGCAACTCTCTCTTTCAAGCTCTACCGAGCCGTAGATTTCTACAGTCATACCCAGAAGAAAACAGCACGGTTACAGATTTGATGCAATACCGGAGATGATACAGAGAAGATACATTTATTTTTTTCTATTGCATATTTATGCAGGCATGCAAAACTCAAGATCGTTCCTGACTCAGTAAAGCTTTAAGATCATTTAAGATCCCTACATACATAATAACTACAGCTACTATTATTCATGTCCTGAAGTTATGTTCACGCTTTATCTTTCAAGAAACATGGCTCAAACTGTACCTAATAATTGCATGAATTATACATTACACAGCAAAACCCATTATGCTGTATAAAGCAGTGGGTTGTTGGGGTTTTTTCAGCCTATACGTACATTTACATAATGCTTTTATCAAAACAATTTTCACTCAAGATAAACTGCCTCAGTAACAAAATCAATGTCTACAAACTATCTCACAATGGAATCAGAAGTAAGGCCTGCAAAGAGAGCAAGTATCTGAAAATTATGACCATCTAATAAGCTGTTTTTCAGCAAAGGTAAGAAATGCATTCCTACTTATTGTTTACTTTGCTGAAATTTGTGCAGAGTAGATTTTTTTGCACTGTACAGGCAGAGGGAGACAAAAGTACAAATGCTGACGTCATGCACAATGGCTTAAAATTTCAAAGTGAAAATTCAAGGAAATATTTGGCAGAAATTCAGCTGCCCTAACACCATGGCATTGATAACACAGCTAAATAACCTAGTTGTGGTCTCACCTAGTTAGCTGCGATGTTAGTATTCTTCCCCTTTGTCATTCAGAGATTTTACAAAGAATCAGTATTTAAAATCTCATGTGAACTGTCATTGGCAAAATTGCTACTAAAAGACCAACTGAATCGAAGCAACGCCAAAGTACTTGTAACCTTTTCATTTAAATGCTTACAATTCCAAGAGCTTGTAACTACTAACAAGTCAATTCAAGATAGTTCAGGTGACTTTCATACGTAAGTATATAAACTCATATATGTAATTTGAGAAAAGACAAAAGTATTCCTTTAAAATTTGGTTTCTTAAATATGTAAGTAGGTCAGACAAGGTTGAGCAAGAAGATACATCTGTTAGTTGCTTCTTGTTATGCGCACTTAGTAGTTAACTCTTTAAAAGGCTAGATGAAGAGCAATTATAAATTCATACATTTTAATCCTTACCACCTACTGGGCAAAGATTTTTAGCAACAAATTTCATCGCTTGGATGAATGTCAAGGAACAAAACAACTGAGCTGAAATCCCTTTTCACATAAAGCAGAAACTGATTTGAACTACTGCTACCAGAAAATACAAAACTGTTACTCATTATACAATGCAGAGTAGATCAGAGCGCACTATCCTTTATTTGAAAAAGGGTAGTAGTTGACCTTTTACTGCTACGTTATTAACAAACACACTTTCAGAAATACCGATCTCTTTCACAAATCTTAATGTATATAGAAAAAACCCATAATTTTTAAGACTTACATATATTGCTGCTGGTAATACTCTTGGCATTTTCAACCATCCACGCAAAGATTTTTAATTTATTTATATATTCTTTCTGTCAGCCAATCATCTAAGTTCTTCATGAGGCTGGTATTTTATGAAACTGCTACAAATACTAATTCAGGTAATTTGTGAACAGCATAAAATCCTTTATATGTAAAAGTAAATTCCATTTTAGAGGCTGAGAAATTAAGGAAGCAATGTATTTTTATCTTTTTAGTATTTATTCAATCCTTCTAGCCACCAATAAATGCTTAAATTTTGAGTATCTGCTTTGTTCTACAACAAACACATATATGTTCACCAGCTATGAGGAGAAAATCTTTTTATTGGGCACTCCTTTATAAAAACGATAAGTAACAGTGTGACATCAAGCCAATAGAAAAACCTAAGTATATTTAGGAAGGGTCAATTGTTCTTGAATGTTTCACTCATGTCTCCACGTCACTCTTCTCCACTTAAGGAAAACAGTTAGTAGATATTATTTTATAGATACTTCTAAAGGGACAATATACTAGATGTGGCTGTTAAAATGGACAGTTAGAATCTTCAATAAGGTTACAAATACACTTATATAAATGGATTGAGGGGAAAAAAAATAATTTAAAAAAATCAAAATCAAACAAGCCCTTCAACCTTTGAACTGGGTTTTATTAGTTCTGCAGAAATTAAAGCCATAATTCGCTGTTCCCTGAATGACCACACTGTATTGCACACTAAACAGGTTAGTGGAAATTCTTACCTAATTAGAAAATATGCTGAAGTAAGCAGGTGTTGTATAACGCCAAACAAATATTGATCATTGTCAAATCTATTGCAGTATCTAACCACAACACTCCATAATTTAACTTTGTATAATTACTTTCACAAAAACCTGTCATCAAGCACAGGCCCAACTCTTATTTATTCCTGTGTTAGAAGAAAACGGCCACATAAAACTCCTGTTCAGATTTTATTTCTGATGTCCTAGCTGTTGTGTTTGTATCGAGGTTTGATGCTCAGCCAATTACTCAGTTAAGAGCATTCTCTTCAAGAGAATAAAACCTGATAAAATGTCCATAAAATCTTGGAAAACGCCATTACAAGGGTCTCGTAAACGTAACATTTCTGGTACAGTTTTGAGATTTACACCTTGTGTTGTCCTTTCACAGAAGCAAACATGCACAAAACCACTGTAATAACCTCTCGAAATCAGATAATATTCCAACAGCTCAGTTTCACTGACAGAAGGGGCCTGGACATAAGCCAAGAGGCCCAGGTGCACTGTGTCATGCCAGTATTTAACGCAGCCTAATATCAGATAGATGCTAGTGAGAGAAAATACTCAGAATAAAGTACAGATAATAGCACGGACAACCACTCATTGCTAAATTACTTCTGCTCATCGTGCTGTGAGCTTTGTATTAAATTTTTTCGTCAAGTGGCAGGAATCATAGGGAGAAGTGGTTCAAAACTCCCTTCTTGTAACCCTGGATAAGGATCTATAATACTAGGCTTTCATATGATAATGGCAAATGATGCCCCTCTGAAAAATTTCAGACTGGTAATGAAAGTCCTAATCAGATTGTTGTTGTGGAGAACCAGGAGGTGGGGAATGATGCCTTTCCTTCCCCTCCCCCCCACTAGCAAATTTAGCAAACTTGACAAGATGGGTTAAGTCTTGGAGAATTTATCTTACATGAATTTCCAACAAAGCCCGTGGGTAGTTTTATAAAACTGGAAGGTAGTGCTTTAATAAAAACTGCACCACCTGAGGCATTTTCATTAAAGGCTCTCTCTAGACAACATCACAATGTTTGCATTATCCTCCTACACCCCCAAGAGAATACAAGCACTACCTTTTCAGCGAGAGTTGATATTGTGTGTGAAGGCACGAGAGAAGATGATTAGATTTTGCTTTTACTCACAAAGTAACCGCCTACAACAATGCTGTGATCAGGATTAAAATTCACTGATTTGTGCTGTCCACCATTTGAATGGTAAATTGTGGGTTGTTTTTTTTTTTTCAGGAAAAGAGATATTCTGAAGGTTATAACAGTCAGTCATGTGAATGAAGATTTTAATCCTAACCACACATTATTCTCAATGACTGTACTATTTATGCTATCTGGGCTCTTAAATAATGACAGTAATTAGCCGATTAGGACACTACACAAAACAGGTGCAAAGCTGTGGAGTGGAAGCATCAATGTACAGTATTAAGGAACTCTGGCATTTAAAATGATTAATCTGTTCAGTGTGTTTAGCAACAGGAAACACAAATCACTGAATTCTGAAACATAATGCTATTTCTGTGGAAAAATTTCACACACATGCACTGAATGCTTATTTAGAAAGGTTCACTGTCGTGTTCCACCGTTTCAGCGGACTCACCATCTGTGTAGACTTCTCTGCGCAGATGTCCTGGCTGGTGTTTTTGCTTTTTGGCAGGTCGGACCTTCTGTATTACAACAGCACTCATGTTGCTGTCAGTAGACACAGGGCTGGTGGGTCTAGGACAGTGTGATGCATGAAAATGTCTACGGCCTGGAAATTGTTACAGAACAATAGCTATTATTTTTCTTATCTAAAATAAGATGTTTCATACTTTCTCTTTTTTTCATGTTGGAATGGTCTAGCTACATGAAACCTGAAAATACACTGTCGGAACACTAATAAAACTCTCATCCTGTCTGTAATCAGTTTCAGGGCAAGCCGTAACTACCTTGAAGAATTGGTATCCTGTCAGTACAGGAGGCTGGCTTAGTTTCACAGAAATTGTTCACCTGGTAGGCAGCTGGTAGCTGCTGCCCCAGGATGCCGAACGCCATCGGCAGTCAAGCGCAGGCAGGCTTCCCACCTTCCAGGGGCAACAAAACACTTTAACTCTCAAGGCAGGTTTCACCTCCCCTAGCTCGGGCAGCGCAAGGTCACCCACGCCATATGCAGAGCAAGACGCTGGCAGGTCTTGGGTACAGAGGCCTCCTCCGCGGATTTGAGTGAATTATCAGGGATGCAGCAGGGAGGTACGACTGGCACTTCACCATGGCTCATTTGCAGATAAGAAGTGTCACATTTTTAGGATGGGTAGTCAGGTATGGCCAATATCAATACATAAAAATCACTGCATAACATCAACTTGACTGCTGTAAAATTATTTACCTGTAATAGTAATGGGATGTAAAAAGACCTTTTCTAAATATATAAATTTATACACACATATAAAGAAACATTTATATGAATGTATACGTATAAAATGGATAAAATTCTGGCCACATGGGTATGAATGGGAGTATTGCCACCTACTTCAGTCAGCCAGGATTTCATCCAGAATTACTAAATTACCTCCCCTCTCACTTTTCATGATGAACAGCTGTGTTGAAATGAAACTAGACTGTTAACTGGAAGAGGATATCAGAAATGGGAGGAAGGTTGCAAATCTGTGGAGTCAGGGTGGTCGCAGTTGTGACAGAGTACCTCTTCTCCAGGTTTGGCAGTTTAATAGGACTGATTGGCAAAACATTCATGGATCTGCTTGAAACCTGCATCCCTCACTGTGGTATCCTTATTTCTTAGCTTAACTACAGTAATATCCACTGGGCCTAGTCAGGTTACTCATCACCTGTATATACTCAGTGTTACTAGTAACCAGCAAGTTGTAAACATTAAATATTTCAAATATAGTATTTTATATGTCTAGTAGTGATTCAGGAGGGAAAAAAAAAAAAGGAAGAAATATATGCATAAGGCCCTGCTGCATATCTGTAATCTATAATTTAAACTGGAATCAATAACAACTGTCAGATTTTGAAACCAGCAAAACCCAGCTCTCCCATCTAATAGAGGGCTAACTCACCTCCTGCTGCATCCTGCATTTGACGTCTGGCTACTTTCAGGCCAGCGTATTCTGCAGCTGCTGCAACAGCCTGTGCAAAATCTGCATCGGTAAAAAACGATCCATAAAAAATAGATCGCCCACTTGAGATGTTATCTTCCTCAGAGGCTGAACCCCAGCCATTGATCATGGACCCTGTTACAGAGCTCTCCAAATCCCCAACGCTGGAGGCAGGTGTCTGCTCAAGGCCACGCAAAAGGAGCCTTCTGTTCTGCATCTTGGCAACCTCTATGTCTGCCTCATCCTCTTCCTCTTCTGGTGCGTCAGTATCCATATCAGAGACCAAGGGCCCTGAGATATATCCATAGGTATGTGGTGGGGAGATAGGCCTTGGAGGGGGTGGAGGACTCACAGGTTGACGTCTGCATAAAAACACAAGGGTAAGAAGAACCGAAGTCACATAGCATAGTCAGAGGGATTAGTAGATTGATGAAAGTATTTCTTCTATTCTCCAACAAGACTGACTTGCCTTTTTAAATCAACAGAATTTATATCTGAAAGGTTCAGAGCTGGTTGGGGTTTTTTAGTTTTTATTTTTGCTGTAAATCAGAACTGACTGACAGCTGTGCAGTTAGAAATCTACCACAAAGAAATCGGATTTTTTTTAATACAGTTCCTTTACCACTGATTTTAACAAAAATTGAATTACTTTGCATAAAGCTGTTAATTTTTCCTGAAATAACACATGTACAGCTAGGGGAAGAGGTGGTTACAGTTCATGTGACTATTAAAAAATATTACTTGTTCACCCTTGAGAGTATGAGCAGGAGTCTCTGTATATTGCTCTAGAAGCTTGAAACTATCAATGTCAACAGATACCTCTATCCAAGCAGATTGTTCCATAGACACTGTCTTCCCTCCACCCACCGCAGTGATTCAGAAAGATGTGAAAAGAGATATTGCTATGTCATTATTTTTTAAATTGGTCTAGGTGATAATATAAAGAATTCTCTACTATAATGTTTGTTCTAGGTCTTAAGGGTACAAAAATGGCAATAGATGAATGGGTTAATTCAATTGAGCTGAAATCATCAGTAATGATGTCTCCAGTTTAAAGAGGCAAGGTATTAGATATTAGATCAAGATTCAGTTTAGTTAATACTTCACTCTGAAGTCCCAGGCAGTAACACTGTCAACAGTTTTTCTTTACAGGGTCACAGGCATGCTCTTTAATTGCCGTTTGTCTCATAGGATGAAATTCTTTCTGCTGCAATGGGTGTACTGTTGGCTTTGCTTACCAGGAACTTCTACTGCAGTCTGCTTTACAAAAACTTCCAAGATAATTTTCCTGTGTCAGTTTTTCCCGTCTTATTATCTCACTGACACATGGTGACTCTCATCAATTAATTCTTTTGTTATTTTGGGGGATACAATTATTTTATTTTAATAAATGGGAATACTTCCTAATTCTGAAAGAAAACTTAGCAAACTAAAACATAAGAGTTTGTGGCAAGACGAAACTGGAACCTCCCTAGCTACATCATCAAGCCAGTTTTCCACTTGCTGTATACTAAGTAGCGAATAGAATGAAGAAAAGGTCAGTTAGGAATATATACCCAATAATAATTTAATACCTGCCCTCCCATCCTCAAATCCCAGAAGCTGTTGCTGCATGGCAATCTCTACCTGCCTTTGACAGGAAACCTTTTGCCCAATAAAGTTTTACTGCCTTAATTTAAAGCTCTTGAGGCAACTGTCCTTGTAATATATTTGCCCATCTTCCTATTCTCTAGGTTTTGGTATCAGGAGACAGGCAACTGGTTACAAAATATGTTAGGGTTCTTGAAAATATAGCTGGCCTGCCAGCCGTTAAGGATGGACTAATTGAGAGCAGCTGGTTCATGGGCATACACAACTAGCAATACTTCTTTCACTGTAGCTGATGCAGTGGCTCTCACTTTAACAGTGACACCATCTCCTCTCTCGGCTCTCGCTTTGACATTGACATCATTTGCTATCTCACTAAATCTTTAGCTTTTTCTCTGCTTCTCCACTCTTCCAGAACACAGATTTCTACTTCAGTTTGCTATACTTCTAGCAAGCTGACTGGACAGAGAAATATTACAGTACACAATCACCACCACAATCATATTCTATATGCCAGGCTCTGATCAGAAATTGAGATAATATTCAGCAGAACTACAAGTAAAGCAAATAAAAAGTACAAACCCCAGTATTTTAGACATAATTTTCAGTATAAAAGCACCATTTAGAAAACATCCGAAAACAACTGAGCGAAGCACCACCCAAAAGGCATTCCTAATTGGAAAGTATCGTCACACCATATTTAAAATGGACACCCCCCTTCCAGAATGGGCTGCAGCTGTTGAGCACAGTACATCCAACTCCTCAACAGCAATGCCATGGGTGTATCAAAGCCGTTAGATGGAAAAAAGGTAGTCAGCCAAGACTTAGAAATCAAGCAAACAGAATTATGTGAAACTGATGAGATGGAAGTAGCAAAAAGAAAAGATTTTTGGAAAAGTAAGGAAAAAGAAGACAAATGTAGTCACTTAGACTTCCAGCAAAGCTAGACTTTGTAGGAAGAGCAAAATAAATATACATTTCATTTTTTCAGTCCACTTGGTAAGTAATCTGTATGCTTTAGGACCTTAAATTGGAACATCCTCCCAGCTAATTCTGTCTCTACTTTTGGTGACTAGCCATAACTCTTTGTGTTGAGCAAACAATCTATTTTCCAGGCAGTTGCTGGCTGGTTATGTGTGTTTGCATACATCTGCTCCAATCCACTGCCTACTCCATTCCATATGTCAGTGCGTGTCTCCCACTCTACAGAATATGGTACCTGAAGTTCTGGAAAGTCACTCACAGCACATCACTCGCACAGCATTTCCCATTTCCATTAGTGTCCAGCTAGTCAACCTCTAAATAACCCAGAAAACTTAAGTGATTAAAATGAACACTTCTGCGCCCTGACGTATCAGGGCCAATGGAAATTACAGGAAAATATTATTAGCCACTCACTAATAAAATAGAGTAATTGTAAAGACTCAGGAAGATAGAGGAAGAGAAAATGCCACACAGAACAGAAGTGTTACAATAAAGAAAACAAAAGAAGGCAGACCAAGCAGAAGCAGGGAGCAAAAGTAAAAGCAGATATAGGCCCTTTAAAAATAAGATTAATAACTACTGCTTACTTAAAAAAGGGAAACATAAAAATGAACTAACTTTTCAAAAAACATTCTGGAAAATACATCAATAAATGCCCAGCACACTCTATTAATAAAATCAGAGTCCTACAGTCTAGTCAGCAAGAGCAAACTCATTTCATCATAATAGGCCTGCATTTCACTAAAAATAAAAAGTATGACTAGAATATTGCAGGTAAGTTTGTATATTTCTGTTAATAAACAATATGTGCAAACCACTGGTAGAAAAAAGGTAATAAAAGAAATATAATTTGAGGTGGAGAGGCTGCACCTTCTTATCAAAACGCAAGACAAGAAAGCATCATACATAAAAAAACTCATTCAGAAGTCATTGTTTTATGGAAGAGAAGCTCTGAGAGTACATATGCAAAACAGTTTGTACTAAAAGCTACTCAGAGAAGGAACAAAATTCCCCTGTAACAAATACCTATCTATATTAATGTTGGTCATTCCCTTAAAATAAGGGTAGGTGAAAATGTTACGAAGATTTTGCAAGCAACAATTTCCTGTATTTGGATTTATGAGAAGAGGAAAATCTATAGGTTATATAAATTATATATTTATATATATTCATACATATTGGTGACAAGTTAATTGCACAGTTACTGTGAAATAATGCATGCTATTTTATGGTAATAATGCAGTAAATCTATTGGAAACAATGGAACTGTAATTATATGGTAAGCTGTGTTAACGATACCACTTTAATATCCTGATGACTATGAATTTAACTTGTGTCAGCTTCATAAGCACTGTAAAGTGATATACTGCATTTCTTTCCATGGTATAATAACGCATCTTAATTACGTATTTCTTAGGTTACAAATAGTTCTAGCATCCTGGATTAGAAGTTAACATTTAACAGAATACATAGCATGGGGAAAATCTTGGCCTCATTGAATTCAACAGGAATTTTCAGTGGGGCCAGGATTACTTTTGTCACATCTCTCTCGCTATATTTGCATTGACACACCTCCGGTCAGATTGGTGCTGTATGTGTCCCAGATCCTCCTGACAGTCCTGTAACATGGGCTGGAGTTCTTCCTGGGGAGAGGGGGTGAGAGTGGCAGTTGACTGATGGCTATAGGAGACAGCGGCTGGAGAGGAAGCTGCTCCTCGGACAGGTGGAGTAGGGCCTCGCTCATCTTCTTCCTCTTCCTCTAGCTCATCCTGCTGCAGATACATCCTTGCAGGTGGGACAGGACAAGCAATTTCTTGGTCATAGCTAAAATTAATTTTTTAAGAAAATAAGGACTTAATTTTAATTTTTTACTGTGTAATTAGCATATCTGATACATGTATAAATAGCCCAGAAAAAGTCTTTGTTATATGTGCTATTGAAAACAGCTTAGTAAGGACGTACTGAGTGGATGTGTATCACTGTCCGTAGTGGTCTCTAAATAGCCACACTACAGCTAGTTGAGGAACACCAGAACAGTACTGAAGGAAGATTTCACTGCCAGCTTACAGGGCAAATTCAATTAACTAGTGATTAAAGTGAGAAATGGATGATGTATTAATTTTTCTTACCTCTCGTCCACTGAAAGACTGTAATCTTCACTATTGCTGTGGGGAGGTGGATGTGCTGGAGGGGGCGGAAGAAGATCTGCCCAGTTCATGCCAGCTTGCTTGGGCGCCTTTGGGGTCCGAGCACCTTTCTTGTGCCCTTGACTCCCTATGAATGAAAAGCAGTTCGCATTTGTAATGTTTTTAAGCATCTCCTTATTGCTGTGCTTTGAAAACAAAATAACTGTAGTCCCTCCTAGATCCTTTTCATTCCCCTTCTCTGGGAATTTACTGTTTTGCTCAGTTGGAATAAACTGGCATTCCATTTTTACATCAGTTTGTAATTGTAGCTTCTTTGTACAATTAATCTACATTTTTAGGCACTTGAATTTAACCAGAATATTTACATAGCATGGGAAAAGCACATGGGATACAAAACTTGAATTGTTAATAAATAGCCAAAATGTGATAAAACCATAAATGAATTTTATATGCAATATCATTAAGAGTGAGCTTCCTACTTCTATTAATTACATTATAGATTATCATCTAAAACAAATGAGCTGTAGACATATTTTCTAAAGTGCCTTTATACTATTTAATTGCTGGAACCTAAAATACAATATGATACAGATATGATCTATTAAAGTTCCACTGTTGCATTAAGTCACTGAATATCTGTAATTTGTACTTGTCCACTGAAATGTTTTAGGCACAATGAAATTACTAGTTTTATTCTAAAGGGCAGGTGCAGTTGAAAATAATTGCTGGAAGAACTAAAATAACAGAAAAAAGAAGGATGAAGATCGATGAAGTATGGCACAAATGTTTTCAATTACTATTACTGGGAAATTATAGCTCATAATAGAACAATGCAGCTTTAACAGTTCCAACAACTTTGAGTAAGACCAATTATTCAGGTGGTGTTGAATTTTAACTTTGGACATAGCTATGATCTGAACTGACTCTACCGTTGTTCCTTGGTATACATTTTTATCCTTCTTTGTTATCGTTCCTTCTTTAATTGTACATAAAATCACTGTATTTTTGAGTATGTTTTAGAATCCTTCATATTTCTCTCTTCAGCAGAGGCATGGCTTTATATTACCACAGTTATGCTTTATACACATGATTAAATACGTTGCAGTGAGATTTAGGAAGCTTGTTCTTCTTGCTACTGCTGTCTCACGTTTTCCACTCTTATGGATTGTAGTTCTGCTTATTATTGTCCCATATTAGCTGCCAGAAACAAATATTTTTAGCTGTGTACAATTATTTTTCTGGTTTCTCAGTATGTCAAGCAAGACCCTAACTATCCCAAGGCGACCATCATCTGCATTCTCTACCCTAAGCACCATGATATATACTAGGTTCAGAGCAATTAATTTATTATTCTGGTCACCTTGCTTCATTCCTACTTGCATAGGACCATAAATTGTTAGCATTATGAATAACCATAATAGGTGTCAGAATGGAGAATACCAACTTCTCAGTTTTAATTTGTATGGGTTCATACCCCTGAGATATTTCATGCTGAATTTCACGTCTTAACATCATAGAGCAGAGGCTCAGCACCACATTCCGATGTTTTAGACCTGGGAACAGGAAAAAGGCTGGCTCCCAGAAGAACACCCCTGAGCAGCTGGAAGAATCGTGACCCGTGCTGATCTGACACCAGCCACCTAGAATTCGGGTCTCTCAAAGACACAGCAGGCCCATCTACATATTTGTGGCTTTGCTGTGCCTCAGCCACAGTCAGCTAAGATGGAGCACAGGTTAGGATTAAGCCAACTGGTCTCTCAAAGGCAACAGCAGAACAAAAGGTGAGAAGTCCTCATCTTGATTAGTAAAGTCCAGGAAGCTGCTGATTGTGACCATAACTCACCATATAATTGGCTCGACGTAAATAAACAGAGGCTAAGTATCAGACTTACAGTAAAGCTTATGTGTAGCTTCTGGTTTAGTTCTGAACAGCTCATACACCTCTACCAGAAATCAAAGCAGAAAGTGAACAGGTTAGATTATGATGAGGCACAGTAACTCTTGAATTGAACTATATTCTGTGGTTCCAAAGCACAGAGTGCAATTTCAGTGCCCACATCAACATTCTGCAGCAGAAAAAGCCGTCTTGTTTCAAGATTTTTGCAAAGGACTTTTGGGTATTTTGTATAGCAGATGCCGATGAGAAACAAAATTCAAGTTTATCTTTTGTCTACAGATGAATGATGTACAAGAATAGCTTCGACATATAGTCACTGAAATCTATAAAAATATCATGCATGCATGTGTTTTTTTACTAAATAAAATGTGTTTGATTTAAAAAAGAAAGTATTTCTTAAAGCAGTTTTGTTAGGTATCACTCAAATGTACTTGGCACTGGTGAGGCCTCAGCTTGAATTCTGTATTCAGTTTTGGGCCCCTCACCAGAAGAAAGACACTGAGGTGCTGGAGCGTGTCCAGAGAAGGGCAATGGAGCTGGGGAAGGGTCTGGAGCACAAGTGCTGTGAGGAGCGGCTGAGGGAACTGGGGTTGTTCAGCCTGGAGAAGAGGAGGCTCAGGGGAGACCTTATTGCTCTCTACAGCTACCTGCAAGGAGGGCACAAAAAGGTGAGAGATGGTCTCTTCTCCCACGTGACAGGACAAGAGGAAATGGCCTCAAGTTGTGCCAGGGGAAGTTTAGATTGGAAAAATTTCTTCACTGAAAGGGTTGTCGGGCCTTGGAATTGGTTGCCCAGGGAGGTGGTTGTGTCACCATCCCTGGAGGTAGATGAGGTGCTTAGGGACACGGTTTAGTGGTGGACTAGGCAGCGTTATGTTAATGGTTGGACTTTATGATCTTAATGGTCTTTTCCAACCTAAAAGATGCAATGATTCTAAATGTTCTGGTATCTTCAGCCTGTTTATGAATAAGGCTGCCTTGGGTGAATAGACCCAAGAGATGTAACAGAAATCATTAACGCACCATGAAGGTAATACAGAAATTAAAATGATCATTTTTGTAAAAGCTGAAAAAGAATTTCTATGACTTGCCCATCTGGAGGCCATAATTATTATCACAGAATGATAGAATCACAGAATGGTTTGGGTTGGAAGGGAATTTAAAGACTATCAAAATCCACAACA